GTCATCCTCCTTCTTCTGCGCCTCCTCCTCCTCCTCCCCCTCGTGGTCCTCCCATTCCTTCCTCCTCTCTCCTCCTCCTTCGTCCTCGTGCTCCTCGTTCCTCCTCATCCTCGTTTGTTTATCTCCTCCTCCTCCTCCTCCTCCTCCTCCTCCTCCTCCTCCTCCTCCTCCCTCCTCCTCCTCCTCCTCCCCCCCCGTCTCCTCTTGCTCCTTCTCCAGCTCCTCCTGTTCCTCTTGCTCCCGCTCCTCCTGCTGCTCATCCTGTTCCTCCTTGTCATGTCCCTCATCATGCCAAGCCTCCTGCTGATGGTGCTCCTGCTGCCCGTCCTGCCGCTGCTGCTCCTTCGAATCATCATCACCACCATCATCACGATTTCCTCTTTAGCGCGAAAGGCCTTACGGCCAGTGCCGCCGACCGTCCATGACTGGGGACGACGAAGAGGACGACGGCGACGACGACAACAATCGCGAGCCCTCCTGGGCGTCCTTGTGGGCCTTGTTGGCCTCGGGAACCCACCCCCCGGAGTCCCCCCCGGGACCGCACCCAGGCGATCCGCCCCGACACCCCCCCTTTCGGCGGGGCAGGGGCTTCCCTTCGATTCGATTGGTGTTCCCCTCTTGCGGCTCTGTGGGGCTCTCTTGGGCAGTCTTGGTCGGAGAGGAGGGGGCCACGATTTCCAGAACATCCATCTAGACCCCCCCCTCGCGACCCCCACGGGACCCCCCCGCGCCCCCGCGACCCCCCCCTGGCGGGGAAGGGATCAAGGGAAGGGGCTCCTTTCCGACTCGATTACGACGTTGTTCGATATCCGTCTGACTGTGTCGTTTGAGGAGAAGGGCATAGGGAAAGAGGGAGAGTGGCGACGGCGACGACAACGACAACGTAACGATTGAAACGGAAAAGGGAAGGCGACGGCGACGACGACGACGACTCGAACGGAAAGGCGTCTTACATACGCCGACAGGGTCGGGGGATATTTTGTTATTGTCTTTCTCCCCATCTTCCTATTGTTGTTGCTGCTGCTGCTGCTCCTCCTCCTTCTGTTCCTCCTCCTGCTCCGCACGGGATGGGAGCCCTCCTCTCCTCATTATCCTCCTCCTCCTGCTCCTGCGCCTCCTCCTTCTCATTTTCCTCCTCATCCTCCTACTCCTGATCCTCCTCCTGGTCGTCCCCCTACTCCTCCTGATCCCCATCCTGTTCAATGCTCCTTCTCCTCATGGTCCTGCTCCTCCTCATCCTCCTCTTCCTTCTCCTTATCGTCATCAACCTCATCATCACGAGCATCATCACCACCACAACCCACCAACTCCACCATCATCATCATCATCACCATCGTCATCGCGATCGTCAGCATCAGCATCATCATCACTATCATCATCAGCATCCTGATGATGATCATCATCATATCTTCATTGTCCTTTTAAGTAACCCCCCAGTCGCACCCCCAGACTTATCGGTAGAGCGGGCCAGACGTGTCGCTTGAGTAGGACCGGGGGTCAGAGATCGCCTTCGACCACCAAAATGGGACGTCAAGGTGGTCAAGCGCTTCGTTAGCTACTCCGACGAAGATGTGCAAAATCCAACCATTCGCTGATGTCAAAGTTTTGGCTTGTCGTCGAGTGTGGTGCATCAAGTTCAGCTTGACCGAACAGGTTAGTTGCGCCCCTTGGCGTCCGTTAGAGGTTTCCTGCAGACCCGACCCCCCAGCCCTGTTCAACGTTTCGCTTGAGACTTTCTCATTCTATATATAATCTCGAAACTTTGTCATCGTAATGTCCCAGATAGCTCGCAGAGAGCTGAGAGGGTCCAGATAAGAAACCCGCAGCCCCCGGGTAGCCCCGGAGCTCGTTCCGGTTTCCAGCAGGACCTTTCGCAGCGACCCCTGTGGCCCTCCAGCGAGTCTTTGCAAGCGTTTGCCTACTCGTTCACAGTACGCGTACGGGAAGCCTTTTTTCCGCAGCTCCCTCGAAGCTCCTACGGAGCTCCTGCGAGGCTCTTTTTCTCAAGCTTGCAAGCTTCCCAGGCATGCTTCACGAGGTCCTTCCAAGCGCCCCCCACAGGCATTTCACACGCTCTGGACTGCGCTGCTGTCCGGGCTTTGGACGTCACATGTGTTTCAAGGGTGGCGTATGGGTCCTTTTGAACCTGGAATTTTCGCCATAGCGCCGCGCACATTCGTTTGTGATGTCTGTACCAGCTACACGGATCGCGGGCGGGCCGTTTACGACATGGAGCGATCGCTTGAGCTTTGCGCGCGTTCGGCTCAAAAGTTTGCAACAGGTTCAAGGGTGGAACGCGGTCTTTTTTGTTCGGAGTGCGGTTTTCGCCAACGTGCCCCACAGGTCGCAAAAGCTTCACGGACGCAGGGCGGTCCCTTTTCAAAGCGCCATTGTCGCCGTGGTGCCGCGCACATTCGTCTTCAGAGTTCGCAGCCGCTTCAAGGAATAGGATGTTTGACGCCCCAGATCAGGAGCGAAAGAAGGACGTACATGTACATGAATCCACGCTGGTTTCGAGAGCACGCATTGCACAAATGTTCGTATAACGCGGCCGGTCTCGCGAATCGAAAGGCCGCGTTCATATACATAGCTTGGCGCGTACGTCCTTTGTGGGCTCCCTACCAGAAGAAGTAGTTTTCTGTCACGACGTAGGAGCGCAAGGGCGCAACGGCCACGTGGGTTCACGGTGTCGAAGTCCCAGGAATCGCTGTCTGGCATGACTCCAGATCGTCGGGGCTCAGCAGTAAGGTGGGTTCGCGGCGTCGCAGTCCCAGGAATGGTGCCTTGGCGTGGTTTCGGATTTTCAAACGGCTATCGTCCGACCGGGCGCTTTCCCCTTGAAAATGGATCCATGCAGGGACAGATGGGACAGACATTTGGAGAAAGGATGTATTGCAACATCGAACATCGATGATGCGTTATTGGTTTATTCTGGTATGTGAATTCCTCTTTTGCTCCAAGAGACGCACACATCAGAGCTGCAACTGCCAGAGACAAAAAGACTTGCTCAGGCACTGTGCAACAATAACCAAAAAGAAAGCCGACCCAACGTGGGGAGTGCCGGTAGAAGTACCTAAGATGATCTTCGACCTAAGTGTACACTCGGTACGCCCAAAAATTTTAAATAGACAAACCGAGGAGATGAAGACCAGAGCTGCTGAAAAGAAAGAGGGCGATGAGGAGGTTTCCACATGCGGTTGTCTGATCGTATACATAAGAGGCATCGCCATACCACCAAAAATGATGGGTGGATGGGAAAACCATGTGAAGGAGTAGGAAGAGTAACGACGGAGAAACCTTAGCGGCCTGCGACCTGACACCGTGCCATGTTGGAAGATCTGCAGGAGCAGCGCTAAGCATACACCATGTGGCAAGCGTAGAAAGTCCCTTCCTCTTCCAGACAAGATCCGAGGACGTCCTCAAGGTGTGCAGTACAGGGAGGCAAACTGAACACCGGGACTGGTACATATCTTGTTCGTCTGCATATAGGAAACACCGAGGAAAGAAATAGTCTGATGAAATCGAGTGATGCATGCGTACTAGTCGATGGGGGTGGCCCAGCACGCCATGTTGGGCACAGGGAGGATTGGCCAAGAGATGCAAGGATAACGATTTGGTACGCATTGCAGTTACGCAGTGGAGAGCCAAGGAATAGGAGCCAACTTGACTCATTACTGAACGAATGCGTGTGCCACCACCGAATGACCATTCACTGCTGGCAGCATCGGCACGGGCGACCGCGAAGGAGGAAGGCTGGCCGTTTGCGACGTAGGCCTTGAGACGCATTCGGAATCAGTGGGATGAGCATGGGATGCGCGGACGGATAGGCACACGCACGCAGAACACGGGGAGCACAGATGCGGTTGTTGTTGTGTCCGAGGCATGCAGTTCAATGGCACATACGGTATACATGTAGAGAAAAGAAGGGGGATAACGACGCAGACCAGGCCCCACGCAGCACGAAGCACCCGACCACTACGGAGGTGTACGATTTAGGGAGAAAACATGCATGGGTGACATAACCCGCGCGAATACAAGCTAACAGGGAGAAAGCAGCGAGGGAATCGCAAAGCAACTAAACTACATTACGAAGAGATTGGAAGGGCTGCTGGATAAAAGGAGAATGGAAGCTGAATGCCGGGAAAACAAACCATCCGCTTTGATTGGGGGGCACTGGAAGCGCGAAGACTACAAGGCAATTAAGACGACCGGGTGAAGTGGTTCGAGCTACCATGCGAGGGATGAGGAGTCTCGGGCCGCACATGCCCGGGGCAGGGATGGGGGGGGGGAGATGCACGCACGATACGAAGCGATGAAAATTGCATGGAGACAAGGCCGACGGTTCAGTGGCCCAGAGGCATCAGACAAAACAAACTAAGCACGCGCGCTGCCTTCGAACAGGGGGCGGGCACGAGTGGACTGGTAATTTTGGTGCTCCGCGGCAGACACGCGGAAGCATTGGGCGGGGCGATGGGATGGTTCTTCAGATAGCTGGCCAGGGGGGGAATGAATTGGACGAGAGAAGACAACTAGAGATAAGAAATGCCGCAGCGCTCAAGTGTGCAAGGAATGGGGTTTGGAGAGATCAGCAGCTGCCTTCAAAACCAGGCTACTGCGGCGGCGGCGACAATGGGCACTCTACCCAGTGGACCACGCAGAAGCGGCGACACGCGCACGCCGCCGGCGCTTTGGGCCACCAAGCTTTCAGAAACAAAAGAGAGGACGCGGAGTCTGGGCCCGAGGATCGAAGCCGGTGAATCGCTACGTTTTCAATGGGGGCCAGGGAATGGCGCTGCTGGACAGGGGCAGACCCATGAATTTCAACGAGTTCAGCGGCCCACCGAACGAGGCGGAGCCAGCGGGGGTGGAGACAGAGGAACCACTGGAAGAATATTGGCGCGACTAGGAAGCGGGGGAACGAAGAGAGGGAATCTGCGGGCGAAGATTCGGGGCGGCAGCGGCCGCGGCGGCCCGCGGCAGAGAATCGCGCAAACGCGCCC